TCGGGCCCTAAATGCACTACTCTATCAAATTTCTTTTGTGTGTTACCAGTTGTGTGTTATTGGATCGACTAATTAAATAGTCTTGCTAATAGGTTCCAAACGAACCATATGATTTTAATTCGATTCGACGAGTCATCATCCCCCGAGTTTATTTGGTATCAAAATATCTAAACAAAAAGTAAATAAAAATGCAAAAACTTTACATTGCATTATGGCCTAATTTTGAAACACTATGGTCCACCCCGTATATGCCAACTCGAGACATTTTGGCAAGATAACTTCGCTAAACATAGTCATATGGCTCAACAAAGCTCAGATCCGCTATGTATGGCATGTGACGATCACCGTCTGATAGTTAACCAGCTACGAGTTAGAAATTTTACTTACAAGTATTTGACATACTTATACACCATTGTACCGTAATAGTAGGATTGTATTATATATCATTCTAATTTCTATTTGCTTCCAAATGGCTCCAAGTGTTATAATTTTATTTTTTTAATCAGATGAACATTCAATGTTTTATTTTTTATTTTTTTTTTGTTGAAATTTTTTTTTATTTCAAAAGAAAATTAACAAGCGAGAAGGGGGACGAAGTAAAGACCTTCCAAGAGAAAGCAAGTACAAAAGCACTTCTAATTAATTCCAATAATTGAAAAAAAAAAAGAAATGGTTTAAGAGCCTAACAAGATAATGAAAGCGAAATGAAATCAACTACTTCTCGTCACCATTGGATGTGTGGGTTTTCTTTTCGATAACTAGCTTGGAATCATTGTCATGTGTCACAAGAAGTTACGACGAGATTGATTGCTAGGATGATACATTAGTTCTAGCCCCTTGCGTCATTTTAGCTTCCTTTCTCAAAGTTCATTTTCACATCCCAAGGAAATTGATTTCATCTTCAAATGATGAGCTTCCCACATTTTCATCCTAATAGTATCCCCAATACCTTCAAATGCGCCCGGGGACAGATTTAGTGTAGTGAAGGTAGGGCTGTTATCCACTGGCAAGCGGGGTCGAGCCGGAGGAAATGGTGTTAGATGGCTGGTTGACCCGGCTGTAGGGAATTTACCCGAAATTCCCAACCTGTGAGAAACACAACCTAGAGAAAACACACGTCAAAGAAAAACAATCACACGCACAAGACAATATTTATGTGGTTCGACCAATTTGCCTACGTCCACAGAGTTTCAGGGATTTCACTATTATCAAGAAAAAAATTACAAAGCACGGCCGTACAATCTCTCTCTCTCTCTCTCTCTCTCTCTCTCTCTCTCTCTCTCACACACACATAAAAGAACCCTAGTCACCAAAATTGCATTTTCTATATATCCTGCGCACATGATTCACAATGGACAATAAAACGGACTCAAAAATCTCTCGTTAAAAACCACGCAACATTATTCAAGTCGGGTTAGGTCATCAACCGGATCAAACAAAATTAGGCTCCACAAGGCCCAACACCGGCCACTTTTTCACAAGGCATTTGACTAGATTTAAGTATTAAAAAAATCACAATACTCATTTTACCTCCATTTTGAACCTTCAGAATTTGAAGAATGTTATAAATTTTCCTTTTCTTCAATGTTTCTTCATCTCCATCGCCATTCTTCTAGATATTTTCACCAATCACCATCTCCATCTCTATATTTAAGGTTTCTTTATTTTATTTGGTTAAGTTCGAATTTTTTTGCTTATAATATTGATGGATAATGTGTTTTTAGCTTTATTATTCAAAGATTTAAACAAAAAATTATTTTATCTAGTTGAAGAAATCCAAATTTGTGATGAAATCACAACAGATCTGTTATTTGTTAACGGGGTCGGGGGGGGGGGGGGGGGGGG